CAAGGCAGGCCGACAGGATACTGTCAGTACCACCGCTCGTGGTGGCACCGGCAGCGCCGGGAGGAGCGTTGAACATGGCCAGAACCATGGAAACAACCTCAGCTTCCATCTTCCTCACACCCGGGAAGACATCAGGGTGGATGGGGTTCGCGACGGTGAACTTGCCAAACGCCTCAGTCTGCAGCTTTATCAGTTCGTCCTCGCCGTGGTAGACGGCGCCAGAGACAAAACCATCCTCCCATCTTGTGTGGTCCATGTTCGCCAGGGTATCAAGCTCCTTTCGGACATCGTCTTCGGACCAGCCCTCCTTCGGCAGGGTCAGGTATCGGGTGAGGTTCGCGGGGATCATCTTGGTCTGCAGTTTTGCCATGGTCTCGTTGACCTGCTTCTGGACCTGGCCGCGGACGCCGGGGGCGCGCAGGAAGTAGCCATACAGGACTCTGCGAATATCAATGTAGATCTCGACGATGCTGCCAATCAGGCCGCGGCCCTTGAGCTTCAGGAACGTCTTGCGCGTCCATCGCCAGACGAAGAGGAAGAAAATGATGTTGCGCAACCTATGGTCCGGGAGTCCTCGAGGTTAGCCGATGCCGAGGTAACTTCGGGAGAGATGCCGAAGTGGAAAGATGGAAGCATTGGTAACTCACAAGTCGAGATTCAGGACCAACAAGGGACTCGCTTGCCGGCTACGCTTGACTTGGTTCAGTCCTTCGCGCAAGCTTGCGGGAATGCGGGAGCTGCCGGGCATCTTGTCTACTGCCGTTGTTGGAGCTAGGCACGGTGGGGTGTTACGATTCGCGACAAGCAAGCAATGAAGGTGGAAATCCTGGAAAACGGAGACCGAATCCGAATGGATGCGATTTCCAATTTATAAATGCGCGGAGTAGAAGGGAATGCGAAGGAGGGGCTCAAGAAGAAAAAAGAATTGGAGACTGGGGGACCGGACGAAGATCAAGGCTAAGAGTTGGGAACTTTGGAAGGTTCCGACGTTAACAACGCCACAGCAAGAGCATCACGGGCGGCTGGGGTCAGGGAAGTAGAGGCTAGAGGGTCTTTGCTGTGCAACTGCTGTGGTAAGCAGAGCCAACGGCTGGATCCCGAGGAGCAGAAAATCGTGGGGCATGGCGTCTTCTTGATTATTTCTTAGCGCCGTTTACCCCTGTCGGTGCAGCGAAGATAGCGGAGTACATTCTGGAGTTTCTGGAGCGCCGCTTCTCTCTGGGGGAGCATTGCCGCCATCCGGTCTGTCACATGCGCCACTCCAAGCAAGAAGAGCCCTGTTTCCTACGGCGTCCGCGTCCAGCTGGCTGCAGGCAGTATCATTCACACACCTTTCAGGCAAGTCATTAATACAGGGGGTCCTGCTTCAAGCTTAAAAGCTCATACCATCGTCGTCTAATTGGGGAAGCGACCTTGACTAATAACAAGGTAGGATTCACATTGAGCAGATGGCTTCCTCTTAGGCTCTTCCCCAATATGAGGTGTCAGTGTCGAGGTGGAGCGGCCAGTGATGAACCGCCATCTCCAAAGTCCCAACCCAAAGAGGGCAGTCCGCACCGCGCGACGTGCCCGTCATCTTATCGCCGCGACTGATACGTGACGGTATTTTCCACGCGAACCGAGGACCTTCAGACTCGGCCGATTGGGCAGTCTGTCCGATGTACGCATGACTTTGCGTCCAGATCGCCAGCCTTCTCTTGTTACCTTGCATACTCCTTTCGTAGTAGATGTTACTTCCGTTCATTAAGAGTCTCCATGTTTGGAGCACAACTGGTGAGCGTTATCTGTCAAAGCAACCTTGAAAGTCGCCCAGGTCTGTCCATCCGCGGACTGCCCCGGAGCAAAGAGATCCACAATAGCGGGGCGGGATCGGGTCCGCGGACGCCCGTCATCCGGCTTGATGGCCCCGAACCCGCTTGGAATGGCATTTTTAACCATTGAGAGCCATCCTTTTGCCTCTTTGCATAACGATCGATACTGGAAACTACGGATGCAGAATGGCAAGCCGGTCGACCTTCAAATCGGGTCACACAATGTCCCTAATGTCAAAGGCCAACCAGTGTCTTGGTGAGTAAGCTCCGACAAAGTGGCCATGCGCTTTGCCTCAACCACGTCACATCGACAGCGTCGACGTCCGAGAGATCCAAGCGGATCCAGGCGCCGCCTGGCACGCCTGGGTATTCGATCTTAGCGGATGACAACCTTGCAGCCGAATCGCAGACGTGCATCAACGACCAACAACTTGCGCCTAGACTCATCCTCATTGGTTCATGCGATGTCGTCTTCCCTGTCCAACTCGCCTTGTGAAAGCAGTCAGACGTCCTCATGGGGCAGGTTGGTCCAAGTGGAGACGGTCCTGGCCCCTCGATCGCCGCCTAGATCAATTGCATTTTAACGGGGTGGAGATTTGCGAATAAAGTCCGTATTAGCATCCGCGCTCTTCGCAGGATGGCCAATGTCTATCGGTATGGTATACAAAACACAAGAAGACGCAAGCCTTCAGTCGTCAAAATGAGTCATCATCTCGAAAGTATCAAGAGAGAAAAACATAACAACCCTCATGAGCGCCACGCGAGAAGCTCATGCAACCGGGTAGCCCCCGAGGCCCTCGACCATCTGTCAGTAAACCCCATACAAAATTCCTTCATGAGATGGTCTCCACAAACCCAAATAAACGCCCTCGTCCAGCTCTTGTACACTTGAAATGCCGAGTTCATGCTTCCTGGGAATAAAACGCCTGGAGCTTTTCTGTGTGTAGGCCCTCTAGCGAGGACAAGCCTTGCTCTCTTCTAGGCCCCCGTCTATTGCTCCTTGAATGCCGCCTTCCACTTGGTCTTGAAGCTGCTCAACTCCTCGTCGCAAGATCGCTCTCCAGTCTTTGTGCAACCAGCTGCGCGGACAACAAAGTGACCATCCTTATAGATCTCCCCCTTATCATATCGATTGTAGGAGTTGAATGTCTTCTGCGGCACAATCGCAAGTTTCGAAAGAATGGTGGGATGCCATTGAACAATGTGTTCCTAAGGCGACGGTCAGATATGGCTCAGAGGCACAAAAAAGAAACGAAAAGAAACAGACTTACCAAAGCGTGCCCCTCTGCCTTCTGGAAGTTGTAGCTACGGTACAGCGGATCGAACCAGGTGTCGATGAAGAACTTCGCCCACTCGCCATTCCGGATGAAGAAGCTGCTCGAAGATAGACCCTCCCTGTCTTGCGTGACCACGAAATCGATGTCGTCGCCCTTGAGATGAGGGAATGTTTTGATGATGCTGTCTGGCGGCACAACCGGGTGATCCCTGGCCATCAAAGTATCCAGTCTGTCCGACTTCAACACCAAGTTCTCTAGCGTCGTCGCTGGATCCATGATGTAGGCGTCTTGGTCGAGGTACCAGAACCACCTAGCTTCCGGGAACTTTGTCATTGCGTGCCTCAGCGCCACCACTTTGTTCCATGATGTTGGAGATCCGTCCAGATCGTAATCGCCCGCCTTCACAAACATCACCTCGTAACCTAGAAAAAGAGCTATCAGCATGTGCAGTGCCACAGAGAACCAGTGAATGCCGACCGTGTAGCTGCGCATATTGCTTCCTGTTGTCACGAACGCTTGCAAGATATGCATTGCTGTAGTTGTCCTCGTCCAGCACCGTCACTATTACCGCAGATGGGTCCCCAGAGGGTACTCGAGGACCACTGGGTGACTTGAGGGCCCCGGAGAGAAGGTATATGAAGCCAAAGAATACAAGGGCACCTGCCGCGATGACCTTGAGCCTGCTGCGTCGAAGAACTGGCGGTATTCTAGAAGATCTCGCCTTGAAGGGAGGCGGATTCGAGCTCTTTCTTGGTGGGTATGCGAAATGCATCGTGTCGAATTAGGATATTAGTTCAAAGGGAGAACTCGTCGGCCTACAATCGCAGGAATTGTCGCAACTGGACCAGCGTCAAATTGAGACGCCTCGATGTCCCGGAAATGGCGGTCGTCTAAGGACAAATTTCGTCGGCGGTCGAATACGAGAGTAGACGCTGACTGTGGCGGTTGCGACGAGAGGCTTGGCACAGAAAGGAGGGAGGAAAAGGTGATGGAATGTCGAAGTCGAGGATCGTCAGGGTATTCGCAGGGCGTCATCCAAAGAGTCGCATCACGTCCAGTCCTCGAAAGAAGTCTAGGCGACACCTTGGAAAGTGAAAGTTTTGTAAGGGAAGCAGTGGTGCAAAGGCGAGGACGGCCTGTCAATGTACAGACTGGTGAACACGAACTCGATACCACGGCTTCGTTTAATTCGAGGTCCACTTTGGGAACACTAGATCTGGACCGCGCCGAAAACCAGCAATCATTGGCCCGGTCGGTGGTATTATTGTCCGGTCGGGCGATCCCTGGATCCCCTGAGCCCCTCCTGTCAAGGGTTGCGCTGGTTCCCCACCACCAACACGACGTCAAACCCAATATTGTGCTCTATGTATGCGGGGTGCTGTGACGCTGAACAGTAGGTAGGTTACTGGATAATTAAGGTCGGATTGTTTAAAAAAAAAATACCCGACATTCACATTGATCCTTCCTTGCAAACCTTCACGTAGTTCATCATCAGTGCCTGATAGTGGAAACATGACACACAGAAGTCAATTCAAGTCTTTCGTCACTATCGAATTCTTAAGCTTCGCCATTGGTAGATCCATGAGACATATATGTATCAGCCTGCGCGTTTGGCAACTCAAAGGATGTTGAGAGTTGTCGTCGGCATAATCAGCCAACAGAATGTTGATTGATTGATAGCAGGTTGATGTCGTCCGCCCGTCTAAAGTAAATCTAACCAAAACGGCTCAATTCAAAGACAGAGCAGGGACTTCTTCTCCGCACACAGACTAGTTGACACGATATGGAAGAGAATCTTCGAGGCAACTTAAGAGTGTGCGGGTGACATCGCGGACTCGGTGACACATGGCGCTACAGGCGTTGTCTCTTGAGTGATAAATAATGTTTGCGTTTCTCCACATTACGACCTATGTTAGTCTTCCTTGATATCTTCGTCCTCATCATCGTCACCGCCCACATCGAAGACTCTGTCGCTCGCACGTTGCAGAGCGGAAGCACTGAACTTTCTCACGCCCTTCCATACTCCCCACATAAAGGTCGCGGCACCAATGACGACCAACGCCACGTTGATATTCTCAACACGCGCGCGACCAGTCCCAGCTCGACGTCCAGAAGTACTGAGAATACCGCTGGACCTCAAGTTCCACCATTGGACAGGCGAAAGGGCGAAGAGAGACTTGACGAACCCAAGCAGCCCAAGAGAAAAGAAGCCTTTGAGGAAGTGTTCCAGCCATGTTCCAGGCTCCGCACCCATCTCAGGTACAGGCTCGTGAATTGCTTCGATGTCGTCGAGAACATTCGCCGCCATATCAGCGATTGCGCCCATGGGATCAGTCCATAGATTCAAAATCGGATCCGCAATGAAACCAAGAATGAAGACCGAAACGATGAAGATGAGGATTGTTAGTACAATTTGGGCAAATGTCCCCTGCAAACGATTCGCCCATGATAATCGCTCCAGCTTGTATTGGTAGCTGCAGGTGGGGCATGCGAAGAAGTTCCGCGTAGCTGTCGAGTCGGCATACCTCCAAGCTTGCAAACACCCTTCGTGGACGTAGCGTTGAGACCCCTTGCACTTGCATGGTGAGATGAGTCGTCCAGAGTCGGGGTCGTCGGATATGTAAACAGGCCGTGGACGTGAGTTCATGAAGCCGCTCATGACACTTGGCTCTTCGAAAATGGGGTGAACCGACTCGAAGCAGATGCGACATGTTCGAGGCCCGTAGTATCTTTGCTTGGGCGGAGACTGAGGTAGCTCCTGGGGATGCTCTCTGTCCTGTTGGCCCTGGTCCTCAGACTTGACAGACTCTGACTTCTCGGGTGGATCGGCTTCAGAGTGGCTGTTGCCCGTTGAGCCTCCCATTGGGAGGTCAGACGGCCAATTCCACTGAGGTTTCGCTGCGTCCATGATGAAGAGTGGAAATTGATTGCTAGAGACGTCGGGATTCGCTGCGTCTTCCGAGCATTGAGCTTTCTATATCGCGCAATTGAGGTAACTCTGTGCTGTGAGAAGAGGAGATGCAATAGAAGGTTTGGAGTGAAAGACCGGCTGGCTCGGGGCTGGAAACTTGGCCTAAGTTGACCAAGTGCAGCAGCGCCTACATGACAGAAATTAGCGTAGGCAATATGAGAGCCTGATCTGTCCTTTCGGGGAAGCTGTGCTAAGCGAATAGGATCTTTTTGGAGAACACAGGACAAACGAAGAGCGAAAAAGAATATTCCAGCACCAGGCACTTTATTGTGAGCTTTCTGCGGGTGGTCATAGCTTCTAGAGTGGCTAGATTACATCAGCATTTTAACCCGGATCAACACCAGCGCCGGGAATATCACGTGCTGCTAGTTCCCCAAGCGGCGTCCGGCGCCTGGCAGCTTGACGCGGCGCGAGTTGCCTGGGAGGGAGAGCTTCGTACCTTAGCTTCAGCAGCCTCACCTCGTTTGACCGCAGCCAACCCACCCACCATCCTCCCCGTCCACTGTACTTGACATCACATCTCGACTGCACGATCAAATAATCAAGCAATGGCCGACCGTTACTCTTTCTCCCTGACGACGTTCTCGCCCAGGTAATTTATATGCTTCCAACCTATGACGTCCGCATGCTAATGGATTATAGCGGCAAGCTGGTTCAGATCGGTATGCTCCAACACAACCCCAACCGGCCGATGTTTCCCAGCGTCATAAACGGAATGAGCCCTCAAACAACAGGACTGACATCCATATAGAGTATGCTCTGAACGCAGTCAACCAGGGTGTCACCGCCCTCGGTATCAAAGGCAAGTCGACTTGCCCCTCTTTCCCCAACCCATGCTAACCCCTCGAAAGCCACCAACGGCATCGTCCTTGCGACCGAGAAGAAGTCATCATCGCCCCTTGCCGACCCTAGCTCGCTGTCCAAGATCAGTCTCGTCACTCCCGACATTGGTATGGTGTACTCAGGCATGGGACCCGACTACAGAATATTGGTGGACAAGGCTCGCAAGGTCTCGCACACCGGCTACAAGCGCATCTACAACGAATACCCGCCTACACGGATATTGGTTCAGGATGTTGCCCGTGTCATGCAGGAGGCTACTCAGTCTGGTGGTGTCCGACCTTACGGCGTCAGCTTGCTGATTGCTGGCTGGGATGAGGGTATCTTGCCCGAGGACGAGACCGAAACCAAGGAAGGCGAGGAGAAGAAGCCTACAGGCAAGACCGGCGGTACTCTGAAGGGCGGACCCATGCTGTACCAGGTCGACCCCTCTGGCAGTTACTTCCCGTGGAAGGCGACGGCGATTGGCAAGAGCGCTACGTCTGCGAAGACGTTCCTGGAGAAGAGATACACGGAGGGCCTGGAGCTTGAGGACGCCGTGCACATTGCATTGCTCACACTCAAGGAGACCATTGAGGGCGAGATGAATGGAGATACCATTGAAATTGGTAAGTTTTCGAAGTTGATCGTCAAAAATATGCCTAACTGGAAACATAGGTATCATTGGACCTCCGGCGGACCACCTGCTCGGTATCGAGGGTGTTGAGGGTGCCAAGGGCCCTCGCTTCAGAAAGCTCAGTCCTCAGGAGATTGAGGACTATCTTACGAACTTGTAATTTCCGCAACGGCTGGGACGGTCTTACCTTGTATCATAGAACAGCATAGAGACATGGGGACACGAGAACTCCGAGCTCTAGACTCAATGGATGACCTGCAATGACGACATGAGTAGATACATTGCAGTTGTGATTGGATATGACTCTCGACTGGCCACGACAGTCGAGTCCTTTTTGCAAGAAAACATGTAAGCTGCCATTGCCACTGCCAGGACCGCAGATATCGGTAAGTGAAATGATTGACATTGCGGCGTCGCTTGGTAATTATCGATGGCAGAAATCCGGATCAGTGAGTTGAATGGAGTCAGAAATCAGGCAACAGCTGCAAGAGGCTCATTGCCGAAGTGAGGAAGAACCGCTGGCGACAGTCGGCCGCCTCTCGCAGCCGTTTCATTGGCTTGCCGCGATCTGAAACTGCTCGCCGATTGCTGTGCCGCAACAGCCTACATGGTCACCTGATGTTCCCGCTTGAGGGTATTTTGCAATCGGTCACCGGGTGTGCCTGGAGTGCCTAATCACCAGGCAGATGACACTTTTGTGCGGCGGTCTACTGTCGTCTAGACTAATTGAGGAGAAGTAAGCCGCATGTGAGTAGCAGGGCCTTGCATTAAGCTAATCGCACCTGGGAGGCACAGCATTGCGACCTCAACCAAGCAAGTCAAAGTAAACTTCCAACGGACAACCTTCAACTTTGGAGGACTTCTACGAATCTAGATGTGATCTGCAGCCTGCGACTATTCATTTTTTTCACCGTCATATGAATAGAATTGAACAAAAGTTCAAACAAGACTCTGCTGCATGAGGAATGTAGACCCATATGACCCAATTATTGCTGCGCTTCGCCACAGTGTTCTGAATTGAAGACCAGGGTAGCAATTAGACTGGATTTGAGGTTGCAAGCCAGATCGGCTCCAATAGAACTACAGACTGGCATCCTACCTATCAGCTAGATGACTATGTACCTTCAGTGGGTTGACGCAGAACCATGCACAACAAACTCACAGGTGCAAGGCCTGGCTATGGTCTGAAGCCGATGCCGATGCCGTGTTGCTTTCATAAGCAAAGACGTCCCTGTTCCCGGCTTGGCGAGGCACTGACGCACGTTTTCCTGGAGGCGTCAGCTAGTTGCATGTAGAATGCTGTATTTGTCCAGGGTCCGGGCGGGTGGCCAGGTTTCGGGTTCCGGAGAACCAAGACCGGCGAAATCAGTATCGGACCCGGTTAGGTTAGTCTTATACGAAGTGACCTCTGGCCGGGGTGAGTGCGGGTGACTGTGGGAACTCTCGGGGCGTGAGCGGGCCTAAATGACACTTGTTGGTCCAGGCCAGTATCTGTCACAACGGAATACCGGAAGATTCAAGATACCTTGGGTACCTGATCCTCGAAGCCCCGGCCGGCAATCCTAAATTGATTGGCCAGGAACCGATGTCAGACTCGCTCTCTCTTTCCTCCGAGTTGTACCTTATTCTTCCTCTCGACTTACCACTAACACTTTCCATGCTGGACACATCAAGCAAATCAGAGCTATCATCTGGAGCAGACTTCGGCTTTTCGAGACTAGGACGGGGTACCCCGAGCCCAAGGCTACCTTTTGGCCCATCGCCGTTTATCGATCCCTGTTTTGCAGTTCAAAAGTTCACTCTCCGCGCGCGAAGATGACTCTTTTGATACGGTGCGTAAATGCGTTGCGAAATGGTATACGTCCTCTGCAGATGTGGGCCGCCGGCCTCCTGCAGAGTCCCTGAACTCAACAGAACCGACCTGTTGTAGTGCGTGTTGGCTTGCGAGTGCAAATATGAACAGCATGCCACAGCTACGTATTGCTTCGAGGTCTTTTTCCCGCTCCCTTTACATGCGCAGCGGGAAAAGAAGCAAACAAGCAGCACACGTTCCCAAACGCCATCCAGGCACCCACCCACTGCGACGTGATTCTTCAAAGGGATCCCAACCTCCTCAGACCTTTTCTGCCTACGTTACGGCATCGTCGCCATATCTACGCCCAAGTCAGCAATCATCATCAGGCACTTATCGCCGAGTCACGCATGCGTCGCACCCATCGCACTTGGCAGAGACTACGAATACACGGAGGTTGTATCCGTAGACGCCCTTCAGTGCTGTGCATCGAGCCCCACGAATCCTGGTCACCGCGTCACACGAATTTTTGTCCAATTTTCCGTTTTGAGCCGCGTCATTTAACCTTACACACCTTTTTTGACTCATACCGACCACCCCACTGCCGGGTGAGTCTTGTCATTGTACCCCAGTACTTTGAGCGTGCTAGTGCACCGGTGCTTGGCTTACTTGGATTCTCCCGAAGTACCGCGCTTCCCAGGACCGTGATCAAGACCCTGGGACTGGGTCCTCAGATCCACGCTAGAAACATACAAACAATGGCTGACCATTCACCATCATCTTCCGGCGAGGGTGCAGATCCTGTGGTAGATGATGTACCTTTCAATGTGGCAGTCCTGGGGCCTCATAACCAGGAGGCACTCTCAGCAGCTGCCGAGGAGTTGTTCCTGAACAATGAGGCCTCTTCGCCTCCAGCTGAGCCAGCCTCAGGCAACTCAGTCATCATGAATGCGAGAGCCTACCAGTCCGAGATGCTTGCCGAGAGTATGCGGCAGAACATCATTGTTGCTGTAAGTCTCGTCGAGCCTGTGGACCAAGTTGCAAGAGACTATGGGTTGATTAACACTTGGTAGATGGACACTGGTAGTGGCAAAACACAAGTGTACGTGGCCTGCCTACGAGCACGCGTAGCTTCGTGATATTGACAAAGGCTTCTATAGAGCTGTTTTACGAATTAGGGCTGAAATAGAGAGAACGTCCTCCGAGAAGGTGCGTTAAGACCATCACAGGGTCTCTGATGCTGGACTAACTGTGCAGATTGTCTGGTTTCTAGCTCCCACGGTATCGCTTTGTAACCAACAGTTTGAAGTCCTTAAAACTCAGATACCGGAGGTCCAGATTAAGTTCCTCAGCGGCGACGACAGTGTGGACTCATGGTCGGACCAGCAAGTGTGGGATGCAGTTCTTCTCAATGTGCGCATAGTAGTGTCGACGTACCAGATCCTGTTGGACGCCATGTCGCACGCATTCGTGCCTATATCAAGACTATCTCTGATTGTCTTTGACGAAGGTTTGTGGGTTCGAGATCCCGAAAGTGGCAGAGGCTAATCAATACGAAACAAGCTCACAACTGCGTCGGCAAGTCTCCCGGAAGCAAGATCATGTCACTCTTCTACCATGAAGAACAACGAAAAGGCCGCTCTACTCCCCATATTCTGGGTCTGACAGCAAGCCCGACTTTCGGTTCCAAAGTCGAAAGCATCAATACCCTCGAGGCCACGCTGGACGCTGTTTGCAAGAGTCCAACGATGCACCGAGACGACCTTCTTGCCGCTGTTAACAAACCAGAGCTGGCATCCGTAACCTTTCAACCTCGAAACGAATTCAATATTCCAAACAGCTTGCGAAGCTTGAGGATAGCTATACAGTCTCTCGATATCTCTGAAGATCCCTACATTCGACACCTACAAGCAGAGGGAACAGATCGTAGTCAGCGTGAATTGATTGCAGTTCTCAAAAGTCACGACACATACATCCAGAACCAAATGACTTCGTTTGGCCGCCAAGCGAATCAGATATTCAGCGAACTTGGACCTTGGGCTGCAGAGTATTATATCTGGGAGGTTATCTCGAGATTCAGAGCTGCATTCAATGCCCAAAGCGTCTGGCTTGACACATGGAAGGATGAAGAGAAGCAATACCTCATCAACATTCTCAGTCAAGTTGACTGCCAGTGTCCGTCGAAGGAGACCATCAGCCGTGAGGTCATGTCAGAAAAGGTTTTCGTTGTCATTGAACAATTGTTACAGGAAAAATCCGATACCATCGGTATCGTTTTTGCTAGAGAAAGAGCGACTGTTGCGGTTCTATGTCATTTGCTTACGTCGCATAACTTACTACGAGAGCGATATCGAATCGGTACCATGATGGGCACATCGCAATTCCAAGCCAAGAAGAAAGATATATGGGATCTTTCACGAGTCGAGGATCAGCGGTCTTTGCACCAATTTCGGTCTGGTAGGACCAACCTGTTGGTTGCCACCAGTGTACTCGAAGAAGGCATCGATGTCCCAGTCTGTAACTTGGTCGTCTGTTTTGATACCCCACCGAACCTCAAGTCATTTATCCAACGCCGCGGACGGGCCCGGAAGAAGCAATCTAAGCTTCTTATGCTGATTGATAGCTCGAATCCTTGGGGAAAAGAGTGGGAGGTCCTGGAGGCCGAGATGAAGGCCCAGTACGAAGAACAAGAGAGAGAACTTGAACACCTCCAAGATATCGAACAGGCCGAAGAGCCAAAGGATATGATTTTCAAAGTCGAACAAACAGGAGCTGTTCTAGATCTCGATAACGCAAAACAACATCTCGACCACCTGTGCCGAATATTGTCCCCGGGAGAGTTCATCGACTGGCGGCCTGACTATATCATCGACAAGACCGCCACAAAAGGCGCGCCAGACTTGCGGGCCACCGTAAACTTACCGAGCTATCTTCCAGCCTCGGTCCGCACCGCGGAGAGTCAACTAGCTTGGAAATCAGAGCAAAATGCTACAAGAGACGCTGCATTTCAGGCCTATGTTCAGCTGTACAAGGCTGGACTTATCAATGACAACTTGCTGCCCTTCAAGCCGGAGGACTTCGTACCCGGAATAGACAAAAGAGCTGCGATCCTGCAGGTCAACGGTCTGCTCAATGCCTGGGTTGGAGTCGCCAAGGCTTGGAAAGTTAGTGACAACTTAAGGGCAACTCGAATTCTACTCAAGGATTCGGACGGTGTTGTCCTGGGAGAGTACGATATGGTTATCCCCGTATGGGTACCTGGGTTGCAGACGATACCCATCCATCTGGAGTATAACGTCACCTGGTCAATTGAGTTCGGACACCAGCTTCCGATTGACGAGCTGACCGGAAACGATGACACAGCTGTACTTCTTGCTCTGCCGTACGGCCATCGTTGGATTTCGGCGGACCTCCAGCAGATCGTAAGATTCACTGCAGTCGGTGCTGGAGATATGTCCGTCGATCAAATCGGCGTCAAAGGCTTTGTCCCAGGGGCCATGTCAAACTACGATTTGACCTGTTTCATACGTGACCAGGCTGGTTCCCCATATCTGTACGACAATGTCATCCCCAGCAAGCCTGCACCCGAAACTGTACAGAAGATGTTTTACGAATTCGAAAAGGCCCCGGATGACGTACCTTACCTGGCTCTCAAGAAGTGGTCCCGTAGGTCGGACTTTCTTCATCGGCCACAGAGCGATCCCGGTCAAGGCCCCGCCACTGTCAAGCCGTACAACAGAGTCTACCCGATGTCGTGGGCAAAGGTGGACAATATCCCTGCAAAGTACGCCCAGTTTGGCGTGCTTATACCATCAATCTTGCACCGTATCGAGACCTACCTGGTGGCTCGAGAGCTGTCTATGGGTGTTCTGAGACCCCTTGCCATCTCTGACCCGTCTCTGGTGGTCACAGCCATCAGCGCGGGAAGCGCGTGTGAGCCCACGAACTATGAACGCATCGAGTTTCTGGGCGACTCTATTCTCAAATTCTCCACCACTATTAATGTGGCCGCTCTGAGTAAGTCCATCTCCAATGCCCCGGCGGGTTGAGTATGAATTGAGAAGCTAACACAAGATCAGACCCGGACTGGCCAGAACGACTGCTATCTTTCAAAAAGGACGCCATCGTCGCAAACTCAACCCTCTGCAAGGCGGCCATCAAGCACGGCCTCGATAGGTTCATTCTCACCAAGCCCTTCACGGGACAGAAGTGGCGCCCAATCTACGTGGAAGATGTGCTCCAGCACGGCGAGGAGCCCTCCACGAGGAAGATCTCCACCAAGACGCTCGCAGATATCGTTGAGGCACTTATCGGGGCTTCGATGATTGACGGCGGTCTACCGAAAGCGCTTAAGTGCATGTCCATCTTCCTCCAGCAGATCAAGTGGAAAACTCTCGACGATTGCAGACAGGCCTTGTACGACGTCGCTCCCTCTGGCGTGGAACTGCCGTCTACCCTCGAGCCCTTGGAGCAGCTCATAGGTTACGAGTTTACAAAGAAGTCTCTGCTGATCCAGTCCATGACCCACGCATCCTTCAACCTCGGCAACACCCTGGGCTGCCTGGAACGTCTTGAGTTCATCGGCGACTCGGTCCTGGACTACATTATCGTCAACCGCCTCTTCTCTATCGTCCCTCCTCTTCCACATCAGACGATGCACCTCCTCAAAACAGCAATGGTCAACGGAGACTTCCTCGGCTTCCTAGCTCTTGAACAATCAGTAAGCCAGGACGAGGTCATCATCACAGGCGCCGGCGGCAGCAAACAAAAGCCCGAACTACAGCATTCCCGCTTCGCGCTGCCCCTGTGGAAATTCATGCGCCACCAGTCCCTCGCTATAGGCCTCGAGCAGCTCAACGTCACGAAGCGGCACGCCGCGTTCAGGGACGAGATGGTCGAGGCCATGGAGCACGGCACGACTTACCCCTGGGCCCTCATGGCGCACATGCAGCTGCGCAAATTCTACTCTGATATATTTGAGTCTCTTCTCGGCGCTGTGTACGTCGATTCCGGGGACCTGGACGTTTGCGCTGGTGTCGTGGAGCGGTTCGGCATTTTGGCGTACCTCGATCGCATCCTGAGGGATGGCGTGCATGTGTTGCATCCCAAGGAGGAGCTGGGCCATTTGGCAGACAATAACACTGTGACGTACGTTTTGGACGTGCAAGATGTCGATGATGGTGAGAAGCGGTTCTCGTGCAAGGTTATGGTTGGTGATCGGTGTGTTGTTGAGGTTGATGGCGGGATTTCTAGAGATGAGGTCAAGGTTAAAGCCGCGGATGCGGCAGTTAGGATACTCAAGGCGGAGAGGGCTGCGGCGAAGCAAAAGAGCTCAGGTACTCAGGAAGACGAAGACCTAGTCATGGAATAAGGGAAAATGGTTAGACGTTTTGGTACATCACAGGCACAGAAGCAGAAGATGGACTTTGCAGACTGGAAAAGCATTCAATTCTTACTTCCACATTACATGCAAGCAAATTTGCAATTATTCTCCCTTTTCCAAACCGACTACATATCGAGAGGTGGGATAATGTGAAATAAGAGGGTATAAACCGGCGCTTTGCCCCTGAACTCCTGATCGAAGAATTGATAACAGTTTGGACAAGTCCCTTGAACCTGACCAAACAAAGTTGAAGTATGCCTTGCCGCTCAAAATAAAGCTACGCCGTAAAACGAGGATTACCGTGACAATGCTAGGATAAGCATGTATCTAGTCGTCGGTGAGGTCAATAGCCTCTCTGTTAGTGTCGATCTTGACCTTCTTCCATTCGCGTTTGGCAGGCTCCTCGGTGAGGTCGTAGATCTCGGTGTACTCTCGCTTGATGATAGGACCCTTTCTCTCTTGCTTGACGGTGCCAGATCGACGTCCATTCTGTGAAAGGTTAGTATTGGGTTCTCTATGAAGTGGCACGGTTGGAACTCACATTAATCTCGTCCAGGCGCTCTGCAGCTAGCCGTCTGATCTCGGCTTCGGAGAGCTCGTCAATGGCTTCAGGACTTGGAGACCGAGGTATGATCAGCTCCTTTTGCAATGCATCTAGAAATTGTGAGCTGGGTCAAACCGTATAAGCAGGCCTGAGCATCATACCCCTGGATCTATACTTAAAGGTGAAGCACGCGATCGGAACACCGTCGTTGATGCGTCGTCCACTGAATAAGGGTCTCTGGGAAACGACACCGCCGTCAGCGAAGCTAGTATTCATGTAAGTACTTTACGGGTCACATTTTCTTGATTTGAAGAGAAGAGAGCTCACGAGGTGCCATGAGAGACGGCACGACCTTTGAGTGCCTTTTCCGCAATGTCGAAGTTTGAATTTCTAGTGTCGCGGCTGCTAGAGTCGGCGTAGAATGAAGCCCCTGTGCTGACCATGGAGTATACAAAGACTTCTATGACCCCGAGGGACATTGCCTTTTCCGAATCACCTTGAACGCGTTCCTTGGTAGCATCATCAACTAGCATAGTAGTCAGTACTCGCTAACACTTTGAGCACCTTCCAAGGGTGACAAACTTACTTGTGGTGACTCTGGAAAACTTAAACTTGTTCAGGCGTTCAGATCGGAAGGCACTTGAACGTTCTCGTGAACCCTCTACAACGTCACTCCATATGTAGTTTCGATCTCTGTGGTTGAAGCGAGTCGCCTCGCAAACGAGGCCGTCAATGTGATTACCATCAATGTACAGTACGAATGAGAGGGCACGATCCTGGTTCACCCATTGGTGTGTGTTATTAACTTCATACTTCAGGGAAAAGTAGGCATCGTCCTTGGACTCGACATAGTTGGAGGCACGGCTGTCAGCGTTCCTGCGATTCACGTCGTGTTCCAAGCCATCCGAATCTTCGTACTCAACGGCGTCTTGGCCATTGACTTGGACGGTGACTTTGACACCTTTGAGCTCGTCGATGACGGCCATGTTGCGTCCTGGTCTCAAAGTGCACTCGAATAACCTGCCGATGGGATAGGTTGTTTGTGGTCCGAGTGGTTCCGTCGTTGGTCCAAGGTAAATAGTACGGCGATGAGAGGAAAATGGAATGAAGTCAAATTGGAAAGAGACGTTGAGACCCACGTGAAGATTGGGGGAAGAAGGTACGAACGCGACTGAAAAGGCAATTATTGGGTGGGGGTTGCCTTACACTGATGTGCGCTCGCTGCCTGATAGGTTGTTCTTCATTGTTCAAGCAGAGGTGGGGTACATTGGCCAACTGTAAGTGAAGCAGCTGGCACCTCAATGGTACCCATGTACACGATTTCATTCGCCAGAGCTTCGTCAATGATTGCCTACATTTAGTGTCAGGCCGAGACAAGCCGCCCGCCTTGAGTTTCTCAGAGAAAGTAATCGATATCTCTACGGTTGACAAACGGGTCCTTCCCGCATTTCTCGTTGATGGACTAGCATATGGGCCGTGCCCTAGTCTGCTCTGTGGAGCGAGCCTCGCTCAATACCTTAATGTCGGGGCACGAGGCGGGTCCTGCAGATCCCGCTGCACCAACGGCCGAGAGTGGACTCGGGTAAGCTACCCCATCATCCAAGGAAGCTCCAACGGTACGACAGAATACCTTACTTTACCGCTCAATACCTTACCTCTCTTTCTCCTACTTTTATTTATTCCGACTCTTGCTACTGCTCCTACATCTGCTCTTGCTCCTGCTACTGATATTACTGCTCCTATCATTGCTACCGTGGCTTCTGTTATTCTTACTGATATCGCTACTTTTACTTGATTTATATTCTTTATACGATATGCTCTCGAAAGTGTAGTATAGTAATCATAATAATAACAATAATAACATTGATAAAGTGTCTAATGAGGAAGATAGTTATATATTAACAAGTCTTACATCTTGTTACTAAAAGCTCATAAATTCCCAGGTAAATCACTAGAATCAACAGGGGAAATTTACCCCCACTATAACGAGTCGGGGTATTTTATACCAGAGGTCTCTGGTTCTGATTAGGGAATCAAGGTCCTTCAGAACATACGAGAAGGCAATATAGGTTCCCTCACTCCATTTCTGTTACCAGCCAGGAGACGCCTGTCTAGATCGACGGGTCAGGTCAAACTGGCTGGGTGGTGGAGAGGCTAGGGGTCCATTAATAAAACGCCTACAGCCTACTCGACGACAGGGTACGGGTTGGATCCCACCATGAGCAGTAAGAGATGTGGCGAACTCTTTTTTGATGTCTTCGGGCGGGGTTAAGTGTATTATGCAAGTATGCAAACTCTCAGTGATGCTCATCGGTACGTAGGAGAAGGATCCCTTCAACCATGTGGCTCTAAGCTATTCTTATTAAACCTTGACTTGTTCACCGCCAAGGTGAAGTAATTCGGCTGATGTGAAGAACTTGAGACGAGAAAAGTGCCCATGGTCCACTTAGCCGTCGTCTGGAGGTGTGGCCTCGCACAGTGATCACGCCCTTGCCATGCTTCATTTCTAGAGATTCTTCTTCAGATTCTTGATTTGAGTCTCTTCATCTTGAATTCCGTGCGGCACCGTACTTTGATACAATACCCAAGCTCGGACTTACTAAAAGACTGTTCCTAGAATCTTCCCGGCGGAGGTGCCTGATGCTTGCGCGGAATCACTCCTTACCCTCCAAGGTCCCTTCCTTTTCATCAACTCGACTCTCCGACCCATATTTCCGCCCTCCTCCTTTCATTCTTCTGCTCCTCTCATTTCTTTCACTCATCTCCCTTACTTCATACTCTTCATTAACCACGCAAGGGCTCAGACTTATCGGAAGTAGTCAGTCTCTGTATGCGGCTCGCTTCACTCCAGAGGTCTTACTCACTTCAGACCGTGGCAAACTTGCCGCTAGCGGATATCTTGAGACTCACCCCAAGAGCGTTGGGATGAGCTTGAGGTGAGTCGTACCCCATTGCAGGTTATGTCGTGCTGACAGTTCTATCAGCCCAAAGTCAAGCGAGAGCCTGGAAGTGGTGTGAAGCGCGAAGCGGACGGGGAGACAGACTCCCGTCCACGCAAGGTCTACAAGGTGGACGCAGATGGAACGACCGATCTTAGCGATGATTGAATGGATTGTAACAGGTATCTATTTCAGACTTGAGAAGAGAGGTCCATATTTGCCAGTGATTCGGATGGTCTTTCGACGTGACATGGTCGATCCGAGGGGCGAGAAGAATATCAAGTCTGCATTCGTTTTTGCGTTGGTAGACTCAGGATAACAAGAGGAAGCGAGGTTCTCAGATCATAGCTCACAATTCACTCAATCGTTCAAAAGCATATGGGTGCTTTGCTGCTGCTCTTTTTCGCCACGGTGACGGCATAAGCAGAAGAGGCGTCTCGAAGAAGGAATGCATATCATCCACGTAAACGACAAGTCCTATCCCTGGTTCCTCATGTTCGATATGATGACTCTGGGCCCAAGAGTAGCAACGAGTAGGCTACTAAGGAATCTTCTGCCATCAACTTCAATTCCGTGGGGAGGCTTCTTACCAATCCGGCATTACCGTTACCGGATTGAATAACTGGACATAGGCGTCACTGAAGCAAAGCATATACGTGGCTGCTCGATATTTATCACGCATAAATACAGCCTGGGGTTCCACCCATGGAATACGTTTCCTTCATAGGGAGCGTAGAAATGGGTGATGACAGATTGTACCTTATTGCCGCTGACGCCAACAATGCTTACGAAACTACCTACTTGGCCCTTCAAAGTCCATCTCACTTCTTTCACCAAGATCCCACAAGTTACAGACACACCAACTGTATCTACCTGAGCTTCTCTTCTTCACTGTGTGGAAGGCTCGTAAGAGTCCGCTCGTCAACATTGATCTCTCATTCCGACCACTCCTTTCCCGCTTCGCTTCCGGATACCTCCCACCCTGCCTCCAGCACCGTCTCTTATTCGAGCTATGACATCTATTTCTCAGTATGTAGAAGTAGCGATAAATTTTCTGGGTCTAGAAGGTGAGTCGTTGCCGAAAGCCACCACGGCAAACCTCTTTCTGGTGAGTTGAACGTCTTTCGAATCAAAGGAATGAATCGAGATGGCCTCGTCATCGAGTACCTCTCTTTGGAGCTTCTTATTCTTCATGACGGGCTGTGGAGGCTTGGTTCGGATGGGAATGATTCGTCTGTTTAGTTGAGAGCTGGGCTTATCTCCCAAGTCGAGCGATGCGGTAGTTGTCGAGGCAGTTCTCGCGCTCGTCGTTGTTTGTGTCTGTGTAGAGGCTACCGGCAGACCGTCTAGCTTTGGAGGCGATTTGGAGAAGGCGTTAGTGGCACCAGTGCCTCTGAATCCGCTTGGGGGATTCTTTGGAAGCGCTTTGTTGGCAGAAACTTCGATCAAGTTCTCAGCGTAGCTGTTCTCGTTGTTGTCCTTAGGTTTGTGCATGGGCAAGTTCCCTGAGTGAAGTCAGTCTTAGGAAGAATCAACTCGATTGAGGAGTTGACAAACCTTTAGGTCCATATCTGAAATCGAACCTGGCGATAGGACGCTCGTAGTTGAGCCGCTTCACGTCGTATGTGTCCGCAGCTAGGACCTTCTTGACCTCCTTCCCAGGTCCCACGCTGGCTTCCGCTGTTACGAGACGTTCTTGTCCATATGAAGAAAAGCCGGAATTTTGACTTACTTTTTGGCTTGAATTGATGATCTGGAAGTAGCAGTATCGTTGAGGCGCGTTCTCTCTGGTGAACCGAGCAGCTTGACGATGTATGAATCAACGCGGATGGTACCTCGAATCGCTCTGCCGCCTTTCTTGGTCGTGCCAAACTTGAATGGCTGCAAAATCTGTCGGCCTCCACTGTCTACTCCCAAGACTCCATCGAAGTCCATGCGAAATCGGCGCGATGCCCGTGAATCAATCGCGGTCTTCGTATACAGCCGCCGGAGAACCTCAGTGTCGTCAAGGTGTATCAGCACCATCAGCCCCTCATCCCTGGCGAGAAGTTGACAGATTCCTAGGCCAGGAAATGCATGGATCGAGAATTTTGCTCCCTCCTTGACATCGATGACTTTGCTGCAGCTGAATGGGGCGTTGTTTTCGAGACTTTCGGCCGTCACGTCATCTCGTTCCGGTGCGGCAGCACCAGCGATCCGAACGACCACTCGCATACTGATGTTGAAGCTAAAACCTGCCATCGCTCTAGCATTCTGGATGAGAAGCACTCTCGTGGCCTTCAGGTGTGATTGTACTTCTGCAATTCGAGCCAAGCTCGAGAGCGAAGAACGAGGCAGATTTGTGGCTGGAAACGTTCGATTTGCAGCAGGTGGACGAAAGGTAGCCAGAAAGTGCCAAGTGTACCTTCCTATGGAAAATGATTGCAAATTTTCTTCGCTGTAGGCTATCTTCAGGGTGGAAAGTGCGCGAAAGGGGCTTTGGTCATCTCCAATTGCCTCGAGTCGGGCGATGGGCACCAACTAAGTCATCGTATGGTACAAGAGCTGACAGCGCAGATATCTGTAGTGATGGTATTGATATTTCTTTTTGTTGCCATGGCACCTATTTCAAAAACTTAGAAGGAGGCTCCTAACTACTTGAATCATCATCGTGGAATAACTTGCTTGCTCTGTGTTTGAGTATAAGCACTAGCATCTCACTGACGTGAATAAAAAGTCATCTTGTAAGAACATGACTTCAAACCCAAAGTCACAGATGATTACGACAGAATGCTTGGATACTGAAGAACTTTTGTATGTAACAAAACTAATGCTGGCCCGGGAGCAAGCGTTCTGATGGATGTAAGTCCTACTACTCTTCCACCTGCTCCCTCGAACCAAGTTTCTATCAAAGCATTGTCAACTTCCTTTCAGCCAAACAATCTCCCTCATCCGAGATGCCTTCAGTTAGAGTCCTCCCTTCACTGCAGTGAAATTTGGCTTGTGGATTCACCACCCCACAATAGGTTAGGTTTGAAGAATGAGACTCTTACAGTGACCTCCATCCTGTGCTGGTTCCGTCTTTACAACAAACGCGCGATCTCCTGGCCTACATCTCTAGTAGCCGCCCGTGAGATCAATGGCGTCATGACCGTTTCCCAGCTTAATGACCTTGTAAGGACGAGCTGACTGCTCATCTGCGCCCTTTGGAAGATCACAGAACTCGTCATAGCTCCGTTTGTTCTTCTGAGTCGAAGGCTGCGCGTGCTCGACCTGGTAGAGACGTTAGTCCGTGAGTTCTCTAATATTAGTTACCACCCTACTTGGAGCTGTTGGTGTCTCTCTCGAGCAAGGCGTTCGACTTCATCGTCATGAAGGTCTTCGAGTCTAGGAAGGCTTGACATGCCAAAGTAGACCGGTCTCTGACGAGGCAGTGGCGTGGGGGCCGGCTTGGGGCTGGGGGACTGGTGAAGAATCTCTTCAATCTTCAGTGCATCTATAGAATATTCAGTCAGACATTGACCCAGAGATGCCCTTTTAATATACTGCAGCATACCTCGCGAGCGATATTTGAATGTGTAGGTCGCAAAGAGGGGGCCTTTGCGAATCTGTTCAATGGCTCCTCGATGGGCATTGCTGGGAGGCCACAGATGCTTGTTGACCGGCGCGGTGAAGCTGCGAAGACGTGGTTAGCTTGATGGATGCATCATCGGCAGATGGTTGTTGCATACGAAGTGCCATGGTAGATGGGGCGGCCCTTGATGGTCTCCTCCGAGATCTCGCACTTATTGTACTGCGGCTCCGTAAATGGTCTCTCCAAGTCGACACGTCTATTACGGCGTGGACTGCCAGCGAATCTGGCAAGTCTGACGCGAACCTCGATCGTACCAAGATTCTTGGCACGTCTCAATTCGCCATCTGTAGCGTCTTGGTCAACTGCTGGATCGGTCAGCATCTAATATTTGTTAAAGCCAAGTGATGGGTTGGGTTTACCTGCAGTGATGGTCTCGAACTTGAAGTTGCTCTCAACCATGGCACTTCTGTCCTGGTTGGGATGTCTCTTGCCTCTGAAGGCAAAGTGCCAGCCTCCATGCTTGAAGTAATCATCGTAGCAGAATCGCTTTCCGACGAACTGGCCGTCGATGAAGAGAAGGAAAACCAGACCATCGTCTTGGTGGACCCAGGGGTCAATCGTGGCATCATCCAAGACATTGATGTGAACCGCGAATCCAGTACCTTCCTTGCTCTCAATATAGTTACGGGCACACTGCTCGTAATCGTTCATGTATCTCTCAGGCTCATGGTACGGATACGGATCGGGGTATTCATCAGCGTCTCGGTAGGCGTTCTTGAGGCGAATGGAAACGCTGACAGCGGGGAGGGTATCGATGACTGCCATCTTGGAAAGGAATTGAATTTGATTCGTGATGTGACGGGCGCGCTGCCGGAAGCTGTGAGCAGAGAATGAACAAAAGTGAATATTCCGGCGATGGGAAAAAGAAACAAGAACAGAGAAAGCCACAGTCCTGGAGCTTTTGTCCTTTGAACAAAATATTGGCAGAATAGTGTGATATCGCGAATCCCCAGAGGAAAGACTGAGGTGGGATGGAGAAGACAACTGGAAAATACTTTGTATGAAATGCCCTGGTGAGGTGGACGGGGAAGAAGTGTGGGCTGCGTGTGAGAGAGATGATGTAGAAGAAGAGGTGGGTGACTTGGGGGCGAGTGCAGATAAAAGAGACCTATTGCCTTCCAGTTACTACCTTCCATCATTGTAAATTTGACTGCTGCCTCATGTTGGTGAGATTTAAGGAGAGCGGAAGGTGCCCTCAAAAGGCGTCTGCCTCCTTCCTGCTCGATCAGATATCCAGCAGCCAGCCATAGCTAAGGTTGGGAATGAACCAATGTTACTCTTTTTGAAGAGTTTCTCAGGTCTGCAGCGTGTAATGTGATTGAAGAGAATGAAACTGTTGTCAACACTGCATCGATACTCAAATTCGTGGCGATCAGTCGGATTAAGGTACCTTAAGACCCTCGACGGCGTCGTGTTGAGATCGTGTAAGTGATGAGAGTGGATACGTACCGCTCCGCTTCCCGTCCTTGCCGTGCCCCGAATCAGTGGGCCGGACTGCTGAGGTAAGGCGCCGAGGTGACAGTGACGCTAGAACCGTGAAAGGAAACGGGGACGTGGATCCCACCCCTGCAGCGCGCGCCGAATGGGGCCCGCCCGACTCGCAGCAACGCTGGAGCTAGCCCAGCTCGCTCAACTTCCATCTCCCGCCAACTCGGAGAGCCCATGACGTTCAATGCACTTGTCAGGACTCCTTGTCCATCTCCAATTCACGAATTTAGACGCGACGATGGTTGATACCAGACATGTGATGACTACTTGATTCGTTGCAACCTCAATCGATCCTTTTCCCTCCCCTCCGCCCGTACGAGCGCCATCATGTCTCCAGAGGCCTCCAGCAACATTCGAGTCTTTATCCGCTGGCACGACCAGACCGTCTTCGCTGGCGAGGAGATCAAATGCACCATCACCTTCAAGAATATTGCTCGCGATCCGAATCAGCAACGACAGTCCCAACGACTCGCACCTGTAGACCGACCAAGGCATGTCTCGCCCTTGCTGAGAGGCAAGTCTAGCGCCGGCTTGACCCCGCCGAACTCAGCTCAAACCCGCGGTCACCGATCTGCTCTGTCCCTCAACGTACCAGTTGCTCAATCGCGAAGCCGCGCGGGCTCGGTACCGTGGACACCATCACATCCTCCAAGCGCTCTCGAAAACCGTGGCAATGGCCACAAGAAGTCCGTGTCTATTGTGTCAATTGGTTCCACAAGCACCGTACCTGATGACAATCAGAGTAACGCTAGCTCCGTGAAGGCGCATCGGCCTGGTCGCGGTCATGCCCGAGCATCTAGTCTACAGATTGTGCCTAGGGGAGCTGCTCTGGGACTCGGCCTCGCAGCGCCTCACTCTGGTCAGTATCCTAGTTCTTAATCTTGACGCAGAGTGCATTTCCTAACTCCCTTGCAGCATCGCCGAGGCATATAAGCTCGCCTTTGTTCAACTCGACGTCCGCTTCCGACACACCTCCCTCCAACTCGCGATCTTCGACCGCACCGAATACCCCTGACGTAGCAGGTTCACAACGTCCCATGAGATCGCCTTCCAACGCGCTGGCCGACTTTCGGTTTCCAATGGCCCAGTCGCCACTGTCGGACACGCAAAGCACACCAGTTGCGTCACATCACGATGGGCTATTAAGTCCAAACACTGAAGTTCCCCCAACCCTAGCTATACGGAACAAGGATGGCGTACTCACCAACCCCATCGACCATCCTACGCCAGCCATGCGGATACTGTCGACAACAAGCATGGGTGGAGGAACACCACGCAGCAGTGGGGAATTCTACTCCATGAGCAATAACTCTACGGAAACTTTGGCATCTGAGTATCCAACTCAACCCACACGGGGCCCTATGCGGCCGCCACATTTTCGAAAGTCCTCCAACTTTGCTTCACACAACCCGAGGCAGCCGGAATCATTGATGATGGGCTACGCTCAGATTCAAGGCTCATTCACTCTGGATGGCTCGCTCATCAACCTCGGGCCATTTGAGCAGGTCAAACGTAAGGCCGTTGTCGGCGGTCAAGGAGGTGGTGTCATTGGTGTGGAGCCTTCGAAACGGGATAGTGGACTGCTTCGAAGTTTCGGATGGGGGAGTATCAGCAATTCGATTGGAGAGCTGCTTGGAGCTGGCGAGGTCAGCAGCATCAAAGACATGCGCGGCATCGCCAGTGCCAAGTCCGTCCCTCTGCTCTCGACTCCGCAGTCCATCTTGTTCGTGGACCTGAACCTGGCCCCCGGAGAGCACAAAGCTTTCGAGTACTCATTTCAGCTCCCAAAGGGCTTACCACCGACACATAAGGGAAAAGCGGTCAAGATCTCTTACAATCTAGTGATCGGCACACAGCGAGCAGGTGGCTCTAAAGAGCAACAGGTGCGCTCCGTCGAGATCCCTTTCCGAGTCCTCGGCAGTGTGAACAGCTATGGAGAGATTCTTGGCCATGATCTCATGAACCCGTACATTATTCTTCGCGACCAAGCGAAAATCAAGGCTGTCGACAAGCTGTCGACCCTCAGCGAGATCAAAAAGCTAAAACCGACCAAGACCGACGCAACGATTAATGAATTCCTCGTATACGTTGATGAACTCCTTACAAGGCCGCGGCAGGGCTCCAACGCAGGGTTGCTATCGCCCACAGCATACCCCAGCTCCCGGCGTCCATCATTATTTGAGGAGGCGACGACGGCCACAGAGGCCATCAACCTGGCTATTATGCGCAGTAACCTGACCTCCGAGGGTCAGCAAAGCCCGAACCGCTTCGAAATTGCCCGCAACGGACAGCGTGTAGGTGTCGTTATGCTTACACGCCCCTCATACCGTCTGGGTGAAGTCGTTACTATGGCCATCGACTTCACAGACGCCGAGATCCCTTGCTACGCGGTCCATTCTTGTCTCGAGTCGGCCGAGCGAGTCGAGCCGCATCTGGCCATTCGCTCAGAAGCCTCAATTCACCGCGTCACGCGGAAAGTCCACGTCTCCGCCTCGGAGGCGACGCTCTACTCGCGGAGGATGGTCTTCACCCCGACTATCCCCATTACTGCGACACCAGAGTTTGTCACGACAGGCATCTCGTTTGAGTGGAAGATCCGTGTGGAATTTGTAGTGCCGAGTCAGGAGACTGAGTTGGAGCGTGAGGCGCCTAGCACTCATCCATTATTAGAAGAAATATCTCGAGACGAGCGCGGAGGCCTAGTGCTCGTTGCCGTGGAAAATCTGGCGTGCGAGAGCTTCGAAGTCGCGGTCCCTCTGCGTGTATACGGTGCCGTGGCAACGGGACTCGAGAAGCTGGAGCGTGATGAGGCGTTGGAAGAGGGACTCGCTGTTTGATTACGAGGAAGTAGTGAGATCATACATACCACACACGAGAACGGTGGTTTTACAAGGCAAGGCAGACGAAAGCAAAAAGAATAAGGAGATTCATTCGCGGGCGTTGGATAGAAAAACATTTTATTTTCTGGAACACGATACTACCGTCTTGTTTTTCTTATCTCCTCCAAACAATTTCATAGAGAAGTTTTTTCTCTAGTATACCACCGGAAAAAAACTTTTCATCCAAAACTACAAAAGAGTTCACCCCCCCGGTGCTGGACTGGGGGCTACATCTCTTTGTGCTCATGCTGGGATTCGAACTCGGGGTATGCGCTAAGCCTGTCGTCGAGTAAGGCTGGTTGGCGATGAAAGTGTCGGACCATGGACCGCTCCACCACCCAGCCAGTTTGACCTGACCCGTCGACCTAGACGGGCGCCTGCTGGCTGGTGATTGGGATGGAGTTGAGGGGGTATATGAAGGCTTGTGCTGTGTGGTTATTCGGGTTTTGTGTATTCGGGTGGTGGCTGGGAAGGTTATCGGATGAAGGTTTGGGTGGTGAGGAAGGTGAGGACCGCTTTGTCTCCTTCTCGGGCCTGGACTACCTCAGGCAGGCGGGCAGGCAGGCAGGCAGGCAGGATGTTGCTGGCTCCAAGAGATAAGGTAGTCTGTGTGAGAAATCAGGGAAGGGAGGAGGGACCTTTTGCTTTTCTCGCTTTGTACATACATAATTCAATGCGAATTTCACACTGCTTACCTTGCTTGGAGGTCACATCAGACGTTCAGGAGAGCTTAGATGCTGACTTCACGTAGTAGCTTAGATTGATCGGTCACCACATGAGTCCAAATTAGCCTATGCGACTGCACTTGTAAACTAGGTTGATCAAGACGGCAGTTGTGGTTGGTCAAAGACGAGGTACACCTCGTCATGTTGAATTCCCCGCGCCCCTGATCAGAATAAATAAAGGGGACCAAGATATGTAAAGATGTAAACCCAAGAGAGCAGATCCAAAGGACCAAGTAGTCAAAAATGGCAAGAGGCCGCAAAAAAGTCGGCATCCAAATTTCCTCGTCCCCTTTTTGTTCATATCCACGGTGTCCAATGTGAGGTACACCCGGGTGTAGTGTAAATAATCTGTCTGTCATCCCCAATCCCCTGACCTCCCCTGGCCCCTCCCGCTGTTCAGTCCCATTATGTCCTTGGGCACATTTGAAAACTCCTGGCTCCAATTCGCCGCCCCTGCTTCCGCAGGACTCCGTTATCTCTGAATATGTGTGACGGGTGTCTCTCTCGCAAGTTGAAGATAAATAGAACCAAAGGAAAAAAAGTCGCTGCTGCTGTGACGAAAGAGTGACGGGTAAACAAATAGACAAGATTTGCCGACAATTCAAAAGTGGGAGTTTCGATGCCCCTTTTCCACCTGCGATATCCCCAGAGTCCAAGGCCGAGCACATGTGGACTTTGCGCTGTAAAGTAGATCGATGATTAGTATCCCCCCAAACGCCAGTGGTCTTCTCCAGATAACGCCGTTATATCCAGCAAGTGTTGTACAATGCGGGTAGGAAAGGTTGATGTAAAAATACAATGTGAGTTTGTTAAGAGAATGACGTAGAGGTGGTTTCGCCGCCGGCGGTGTCAGGCCGTACGGCCAGGAGCTCTCTTCGCGCTCCTCGCTGGGAGTCTGCACTTCCCTGCCTTGGAAAGTATTCCGTAGCTTTTCGTCAAGCATGGAGGCCAGGCGCTCCTCATACTGGTCTAGAAGACCGCTCAGGAGGGCTGAGTCATGCATGGCTTTGGTTCTCGAGGCCCTGTCGCCGAGCGCAGCCGCTGTCAGGCGCAGCTCTTGGTCGATTTCAAAGATGACGTCTTCGCTTAGTGGCTCCGCGGAGGAGAGCTTCTTTCTATAAGCCCTCAACGTACGGCAAGCCTGCTCTGTGGCCATGTTCAGGCTGCCGAATCCGCGCAAATTGGGTGAGCTCTTCTTCGGCGGCAGGCCCAAAGACGGAAGCGAGGGTCGCCTAGATGCCCTCGACTTCGGACTGATGGGCGGGCTGCCAGACCCGGACGAGCGTCGGGATGGCGTATCCTCAGCTAGCGGGCTGCTTTGCATGCCTGCTTTGGGCGTGCTGACGCTGTTGTTGCTCAGGCCATACCGAGAATTCCTACTCCGGATAGTCCTGGGTGGAGAGCGTCGGCCACCCTGAGCGGAGGATGGGCGCTGAAACTCAGCGAGCTCTGCTTTGGAGAGGACTCGTCGTAGTGGTGGTCTGGTGGAAGCGGACCCGTCCTTCATCGGAGATGGATCTCTGCTGGTAGACAAAGGAGCGGTGTCATCCGCTTCCATGGACCAAAGCATCACGGTCCCGTCAGATCCTACGCTGATGACTCTCTGGCAGCCATCTTCGTCGTCAGTTAATGTAACGCCATTGATGGCCTCTGTGTGACCCCATTCTCTGTCTACAAAGTGACCGGAGTGAGCGTCATAGAGACGAACGGATTTGTCCGTGTTCGATATGCCCAGCAAAAAGCCCGACTCTTTACCGGGAGGCTGAGTGAAGATGAGAGACTCCAGGATCGCAGTCTCGGCTCCGCTCTCGTCAACACACTTGAAGCAGTTGAGGAGTCTGCCGTTGGAAAGATCATATTGGCAGACTGACCTGTCCAGCATGGAGACGAAGGCAGTTCTTTCATCCTGGCCAAGGACGAATGACGTTGGCGCTGCCTTCAGGGTATTTGCCCTTGAAGGAAGAGCAGCAAGCTCATCTTCCTCATCCTCTTTGCAGACGATGTCGTAGGTTTGTAGTGTCCTATCCATGGAGCAAGTCATTATCTTATCCTCGGATGGAATTAGCACTTGAACGACCCTAGCAGCAAATTCCAGCGTTTGGAAATGCCGGAACTCTCCACCTGACGTGCGGTGAAATAGCTGCGCAGTCCGATCTCTTCCGCAAGTAGCCAGAAAAAACTTGTTGTCATCCTCATAAATGCTGACGCCTTGGCAGTCGGACGAATGGGCCTTCGTCTCGAGCAAGCATTCCTTCGTAGACAGGTCAATTATCCTGAGAACGCCAAACTTGTCGGCTGCTACAAGCATCTTCCCGGCCCTAGTCGCTCGGACCACATTGAGCTGATTGACGGGGTCCATCTCACTCTCAGGGATAACCTGTTCAATGGGCACATCTAAGGAACACTTGATTTTGCCCTTCATGTCCCAGAAAATGACCTTGCCAGAGCCAGACCACGTAAAGAAATCTGCACCTTGGTCGTTGGGCTTTGGCATTGATTGAATGCCCAAGATCTGGTCTCCATGTCCTGGTATAGAAACGTGCGACGGGTCATCCAGCGTTTGGCCCGGCTGATAGCTCGAGCTCCAAATATCTACAGTGTGCTTCTCGTCGATAGTTACCAGGTTTTCTGTCAAGAAACCCATGGCTACCAGACCAGCGGGCGCGATGCTTTTCGACAGGACACTGTCCGGGAGGCTGTCGAGGACAGCCTTGACGCTGAGAGTCGCGAATTGGCCGGCCTTTCCTGACAGATATGCAGTGGCATGTCTGATGGTGATGGAGGTGATCGGAAAGTCGACCGTGAGTGACTTGATGAGTTTTGTCTGTTTGCCGTCATCCTCCACCACACAAACGTCGCCAGCCTCAGAGCAAATTATGATGCTCGTTTCGTCAACGACTGCCGCGCAATTGAAGGTGCCATCCAGCAAAGATCCGAGGAGTACGTTGCGACCGTTGAGGACTTTCTGGGGCGTGGAAACGGCCTCGTTGAATCTCGTCTTCAGAGGAGAAGAAGTCTGAGTTTCCTCGACTTTCCAAATCTTAATGTGTCGCACGCCGAGCGTGATAAGGCTGCTGCCCATCCAAACCATGCCCTTTATGGTGGAGGTACACTTGTTCTGCTGGTACAGCTTCGCAGCACCAGTACGGGGGTCGATTCTCCAGATGTAGAGAAATCCGTCGTTGGCGGTACCCAGAGAAGCAAGCCACCTGGTATCCACCGACCATGCGACCGCATTCACACCGAAACCATGCTCGCTGATAGAGACCAACGGAACGTCAGAGGATGCGTCTTCTAGGTTGAAGATGAGCACACGAGGAGCGTAACCCGTCTCTCCGACTGCCAAATATCTGCCATCTCTACTCAGCGCGAGGCATGTTGCCGCCTTGATGCGCTCGCGGCTGGTCCATGTTGATCCCGGCGAGTCGTTCCAACTTTGCGATTCCCGGATCCCAATCGCGGCGCGGTTCCTGCTGTCGTTGGCCTTTGGTGTCGAAGGCGCCGAGTAGTTGTTCAGTAAAGTCGTCGAGCCGTACACGGGTGTCGCAGTGGGGCGTGCTCGGTAGAAGCGCTGGGCATAGTGTTCACCGTCGACATCGACAACAACGACGGCGCCGCCTGCTATGTAGGCAAAGGAGGAATTTACGGTATCGAAGCCTGTGGGCGAGGCGCAGGTGGTGCCAATGACTCGTTTGAGGGAAAGCCGGGACTCGTGGGGTAGGCGCCCTCGGATGGGGGTTCGATTAGATCGTTGTTGGAGGTAAGGAGAGTTTCCCGGCGTCAGTCTGAGCCGGTTCGTGGGAGTCGCGCTCATTATATCGCCATTGGCTCGCGAGCGTTGTCGCAAGATTAGGTGGCTGGGATTGCGAGTGGCTGGAGAAGAATTACGTCGCAGAGGTCACCCGAGGTAGGTCAGTGACGTTACTGAGAATATGAAGGAAAGAGCGTTTGTCGCGAGAATTCGGTAAAGTCCAAAAGAGAGTGTGTCAAGGTAGGTAGGTAGGTAGGAGTCGGCAAAATTAGTGCGTAGGCGCGCCGAGCGGTGTAAGTCGAAGAGGTAAAAGAGCCGGGCTGGCAGTGAATGTCTAAGTGGATGATGGAAAGCTGCGAAGGAGGTCAATCTCTGTGTCTCACTCGATTGGTTGGGACAATCAATTGTGCATGAAGAAGGAGGGAACGTACAGTGACATCAGGCGGGCAAACGGTCCCCAAGCCCTGCAGGAATTAATGGGGGGCTTAAAGAAGAAAGAAAGGGTGCAGGTATCTGAGCGTGAAGAAGAAGAAGGAAGGACGCGATGTGCCGAAAAGCGTGCAGAGGTTTTGCGGATGGCCGGTTTTCCAACTTCTAGCAAGCAGCAGTAGCAGTCGGTCGGCTCAAAGCCTCAGGGTTGGAGCCGGTTGGGTGAAGGAGTAGGTAGTCTGCCGGGAAGGGCCCTGGTGGTGGGAAGGAAGTGATGTGCGGTGCCTGGATTGGCCTTGCCCTGTGCTGCGTGGTTCTGTGGGAAGGACGGTCGCCTATTGGTCGCAGCTTGCTGCAGGTGGGAGCGGGAGAGCTGAGATGGGAGAGCAGAACCTGGAAAGCGTGAGGTGGGATGGGGTTGCAGCCAGTGGAAGCACCAATGGAGTGTGGGAGAGGATGAGAGGAGAGCATCGGCGGGCGGGGGTCAGTCAAACCAACTGGGTCGATTTGCTCTTTTTCTGAATAAACCCTGTCACTCTGTTCCCCAAACGGGTCACTCCAACCCACCAGCTGGAGGGGTTATTGAAGGGCGGTCTGGCGGGAAGGATCCAATCACAAATCTCGTCACACCGAAGCCTCACCTTGCACTCTCTCTTTCTCTCTGCAAACCATCTCTACATTCGTCTCTACGACAGCCAGACCTTCCTGTATAGCGGTCATAACTCAATCATTCGTGTTACTCGGTCGCTGCCGTTGACGTACCAACTACGATCCGTAAGTAAGAGAGAACAAAGGAATTTTTCGAACGGGGCATGTTTCACAAGAACCGCGATGAAGAAGTCCACCATTCCTTTGTTCTCTTGATGTCATAGCCCAGATGATTTCCACAAGAACGTCTCACTGATCATTCTGCTGCTAGCCCGAATTCTTCAAGAGAGCTAGCCATCAAGCTTGAGCTCAAGAGATAGAGCTCAAGGGGTGGTCACAGAGTCCAAGCCCGGTGCCAGTGACCCCCAAACTTCCCGTCTGTCTCTCCGTCTATCCGTTATCCCGTCAGTTGAAGGAGGCACTCCGTTCTGAGGAAAACGCCCCCTGCCCAGAAACAGCAACACCAAAACGTCTGGCCGTCAGCCATCAGCCCAAGCATCATTTACCCCCGCGTCCGCTCAGAAAAAGGGGTCCGGCCGTTCTTTAATTGAACACAGCCCAACCGTCTATATTCGTGTTTAAACACAGACTGAACGAGGCCCCAACATCGTACGGCACACGGCCTTCAGGGACCTCAGATCCCTAACACTCAATCCCTTGACACACCAACTTTGACAACATACAGTAGCTAGCAGACACCTCTCCCGCCATCTGCAAAATGGCTTTTGTGTGTCTCAATTTTCAGGCGCCATCTTAGCTCCCTCATCTACCGTGCGCCCGCGCCCGCACCGCCGTCCGCTACCTTAGGGTCATAAGATACGTGACATTATACGACTGGGGCGTGACGAGTTCCGAGTCGGTCATGGAAATGAGCTGCTGCCAGGGGCCCCTGTCCCTCTTTAATGCTCCCACCGCAGCGGTTGACCGCCGATGTCGTAACCAGAGTCTCTCTCTTTCTCCCCTGGGGCCCTCGGGCTGGTGGTAATTACATCCGAACGGGTGCGACGCAAGACGTGCTCACTCCGCGTTCAGATATGTGACAACCGAGTTATCAATCGCTATTACTTTACTCCGTATTCAATGTTGCAGTATCACGCAACGGTAGGGAACAATACCACGTCTTGTATCGCAAAGCAACGACGATCCTCATAAAGTGTATCAAAACTCCCAAAATCTCATTGAAGTCCAATACCGCGGAGGGGACTCGGCGATTCGCTAATCGATCAAACTATCGACAGAATTATTTCCCTCCTAGTCGATCATCCTCACCTGACCATAACCTTAAAAAAATCCTTCATTCCCATCCCCAGTTTCCCAACACGTAGCCAGCCAAGTGTCGTTCAGGCTAGCTGCAGTCCTTTTTTGTGATTTATTTTCGTCCATGCCACTTCGGCCCTTTATTTTGTGTCTCGTTACGTCGTTGCAAAGAAACCGAGAGACTCGCTAACACCATCAGTGCGCTTTTTCTGACAACTATGCCATCTCGCCATCGGCAGCCTCGAAAAGCGCGATAGGCACGCCGTGACCCGGTGCGCCGACAATCTCGGCCCTAATGACTTGCGCGTTCCAGTCTCCGCGGTACTCGAGCTTTTCGAACTTTTGCAGAATTCTCGCCACTAGGTTTGCGTTAGCATGTGCTCAGCGACATCGCCATCTTCACAGTACGCGGCCAGGGTAAAGAATAGGAAAGGTACAGGGGAGAATATGGACGGGTACTCACTCGTATAAGCCATCTCCGTGTTTGCAAAGTTTTGTCCAACACAGATTCTCGGACCACCGTTGAACGGCACATACTGCCACGGCTTCGGCTGCCAGTTCTCCCATCGCTCGGGGCTGTAGATGGCCGGGTCCGCAAACGTCTCTGATACCTCGGGATATAGATCCCGCCTTCTCTGCATAGCGAGCGTGCTGTACACAACCGAATCGCCCTCGATCACGGCAATGTCGGGGTTTCCATTTCTGCCGGGCAACGTCGTCGTCGTCAATGCGGAGCGTACGTTGAACGGCACCGCGGGATACAGACGCAGGGTCTCCTGAAGACAATTTGTCAAGTACTTCATGCTCTTCAGGTCCTCGTAGGTCGGGGCCCTCTTCGGTCCCAAGGTTGTCAGAATCTCAGCGCGCAGCTTGGCGTATGTGGCAGGGTAGCGGGAAAGCTCGTATAGAGTCCATGAGAGCGTTGCAGCAGTGGTATCACGACCGGCGAGGAGGATAGCAACGAGCTGATCGCGGATGACCTTGGGGTCGCGCGTGAAACGAGCAATGTTGTGAAGGAAGGTGAAGTCCTTATCCGACTTGGAGAGTTTCTCGAGCTCTGATGGCGGCAGGGCCAGGGCCTCCTGAATGAAAGGATGGATAAACTCTTCAATGACCTTGATGCCGCGCTTGTACGTTCCGTGGGGCAAAATGTTCTCAAAGGGTCTGGAAATGGGTCAGCTCGATCGATTCTGTCTACCCTCGTCAAGGATGACGTACGCCATGATGGTGTAAAACATTTGATAGCTCTGTACTTCATTGAATGCATGTGCAAAGTGATGCTTCGGGCTGTCAGATGAATTAGCATTGCAAATCAACGCCGGCTGCTGGTCTTAGTGGTCTACTTACTTGCCAAGACTGTTGACACCATGCCCAAGCAAGAAATCGGTCGTCACATCAAGCGTCATGCGGTAGAACAGATCCGAAATGTCAAAAGTGACCCCCGACGCCGGGAATTTGTCCATCATGATGTCGGTCCACTTGTCAAAGATGTGCAAGTCACTGACACGGTCCTTGATGAACATGGGTCGGATCAAGCTCCGGTTATCCTGCCACGTCTTTCCATCCGTGGTGAAGATGCTGTCGCCCAGGAATGGAGACCAGACTTGATGGAACATGGCCCCCTTGCCAAAGTCGGCAAACTTGGAGGTGAGGACCGTCTTGATGTGCTCTGGCTCTCTGGTGATGAGAAAGCGGAGCTTGCCCGTGAAACCAATCTCGACTGTGTTCGGAGACTCGGGGGTAGCGACGCTGAAAAGAGTGTTAAAGCCCTCGAGGAGCTGGTGCTTGAGTTGATAACGTCCAATCCGTAAGAAGACCGGAATGGCTTCGCACTAGTTAGCTTCCTGCTCTTTGGTGCAGAGAGAGGGACTCTATCATTGTTACCTGTAAAGGGGTTGGAAGCAATAACTGGAGCTCTTACACCACCAGACTTGCTGAGGAGATACTCCATCCTAACCCTGAAGAACACCAAAAGTAGGAGGTAGGCTCCAAAGATGGAGCCCGCAATATAGAGCGGGTTAGCCGCCGTCAAGCTCTCGAGTAGACCCATCTTGATGGAAGTGCGAGTTGAATTCCCTAGCGATTACGCTAAGTGAGGATTCCTGTAGTGACAGGTGTATCCAGGACAGATGGAAAGGTTTTGAGGGGGGGGGGGGGGGGGATTTAGAAGTCGAATTGCAATTTCAAGACTGGAGAATTTCTGCAGTCAGTCGAAAACCAATGTTTAGCACCGAGGGGCTGGGCAAGAGGTAGGAGCAGCATCGTCTTAACTGAGCTGTTTCAATCCTCACCGAGCGGCACATGTAAGTGTGCTTGCTCAGGCCGCGGTTAGGTTCGACCCTCCACTTGGGGTATGCCTTCACTTGTTTCGTTTGGACTTGGTGGTCATCATCTCCAGGAGGGAAGACGATTGGCTACAAGACCTGGCTCCTGCATCGTGATCGAGCGTCTTACACGGACCATCCCAGGATCTGCCATGCAACTGCACTTGTCTCAATGTTACTAAACCAGCGTCAATCGTCTGGGCTGCCCGTACGTTCCGACACTTACAACGTAGAAGGTGAGCTGTAAAGGCGGGGGACTCGGCCAAGCCCCCGCATAACACTGGCGAATGTCTCCGTGGTCTAAACGGCTTCCGATGCGAGGACAGGACGGTGTCCCACTCCGTCCGGATGCATGTTTGACATGCAACCCCAAGAACAGCTGAAATTGGCAAAAATGACTAATCCCAGGACTCTAGAGATCCTCCTAGAGTTCAATCCCAAGAGTTGAGGGTTGAGTGTGGGGGAACGCAAAAATTACAGGACCGACCGCGATTCGAACGCGGGGCCTAGAGATAAACTGCGTGTAACTGCAATCTCTCGCTCTACCACTGAGCTATCGATCCTACTCAGTTATTGGATGATTTTCGAGATCAGATGGGAGCCTATGATCCACAAACCTTATTGCCGCGCTCTCCACACAAGCATCGACCGACTCCACAAACGCGGGAGATCGTATCCAGGTTCATCACCCTCACGAGCCAGTCGGCGAAATTCTTGCAATGCCAAGTTGCGTGGTGCGCTGGATAGCACCCTTAAAGTTGT